TGCACTGAGACTCCATAGCCTTGTGCTTTGATTTATAAACTTCAGAGTCAAACCTGTCTTTGAAGTCTCCCCCTGCCAAACCCTCCGTTTTTACATCAGTAAAATGGGGATGACAATCAAGTTGTTATAGAAAATAAATGTCCTTTTATTCAACAATTCATGTAATAACCTTAGAATAATGTCTAGCATGTTCAAAATGTTCCATGTCATATTTTTTAAGACTTACTCAAAGTATTATATCATTAATGGTAAGTCTAGGAGACCTCAGTTTAGCAAATTGGTTTTCTCTGGGCAACTTGTGACAGGATTTATCTCTCTGGAGTTTATTTGGTAAAAATAAATATTGGTAGTTCTCCTCCCATCAGAAGTGGAAGAAGACCTTGGGCACTGGTATGGACTGGGTTGGAGGCTAAGCCCTAAAGTAACTCAGCACCTAAAGATGTGAGTCCTTTGAGCTGCTGTGGTTTTGGGTAACTAATGCTCTTTGTACAAAGTTGCAATAGAACTGACCATGCATTTTTACCATTTTGGTGTTTTCTTCAGGTTTATTGGGAAATAATGTAAATATTTTGTTGAGCTCTAAAATAGAAACTATAGAAATTGTCATTATAGTTTATATTATTTAAAGTTTGGTTATATAAAAATAATATTGTTTAATTTGCATTCTTTAGCTACTAATATAATTGACTCTTTTTCATAATCTTACTAATCTTATTTCTTACTGGTAAATTTTTTTATCTTCTTTGACCATTTTCTTCTACAAGGTTATTTTTATTGATCTGGAATAAAATGCCATATTTTAAAAAAATATATTTTATTGATTTTTTTACAGAGAGGAAGAGAGAAGGATAGAGAGTTAGAAACATTGATGAGAGAGAATCATCGATCAGTTGCCTCTTGCACACCCCCTACTGGGGATGTGCCCGCAACCAAGGTATATGCCCTTGACAGGAATCGAACCTGGGACCCTTCAGTCCACAGGCCAATGCTCTATCTACTGAACCAAACCAGCTTCAGTTAAAATGCCATATTTTTTTAAGATTTACTCATTTATTAAAGATAAGCTCCTATTGATCTTTATATATTAAAGTTTTTGCTACATATTTTTTCCATCTTTTGTTAATTTTTGTTTTAACTTAAAACAAAAGTTTATAATTTTTATATAGATAAAGTTGTTAAGTTGATTTTCCTTTTTAGTTGCTTTCATTGCTTTTAGGCTTAGAAAGAGGCTTTCTCTACTTTAAAACTAGTTAAATATATACCTATATATTATTATATATTGTAGAGTGTTGTTCATTTATTACTTTTTACTGCTTAACCCATTTAAAATTCTTAGACTGGTAACAGTTTTAAAGTTATAAATTTGTATAGCCTTTCTAAAAAATGTTTTTGTAATATTTGTATAAGCACAAATGAATTGGTATTAATTGTCCCAATTCTAAGAATCTAACTTAAGAAAATGTTTAGGCATGTAGTCAAGGATTTCTATGTAAAGATAGTCATCCCAATGCTGTTTATAATGGCAAAAAATAGAAATAACTTAAAAATCTCTCATGGGTGGTGGAGTGAGTAAATGTTCTTCAGCTTTACTGTCCAATATGGTGACCAGCAGCTATGTCTGGCTATTTAAATTCAAATGTATTAAAGTTAAATAAAATTAAAGATACAGTTCCTCAGTTATACTAGTCACATTTCAAGTGCTAACAGCCATACATGACTAGTGGCTATCATAATGGAAAGCACAGATATAGTACATTCCCCTTCCCACTGAAGTTTCTATTAAGTAGTACTGCCCTGTGGCCATTAAAATCAGGTTTAAGAATTATTTTAAATATGTTAGATTTATTCACAATATGATGCTAAGTAAAAATATCAAAATAAAAAATATTTGGTGATAACAATTTCTGATTGGTTGCAGTAACTTAAGTTATGTTTTTCTCAGAGGAAACCCAAAGAAAAAAAATCTGAAGCTTAATAAGTACATATAAATTTAATGAGATAGATGGGGAAATCTAGTGGATGGTACCCACTCAGTAGCTATTATTTGATTCAAAATCCAAATGGGAATTATCATACTAGGTCAGATGCAAGACCTACTTTACACTGTATTCTGTGACCAACAGTGGTCTTAAAATTTCTGTCAATATCTATTATCCAGCTAATAAAAGCACAAAAACAAGTTAACCAACAATGACACTTTGAAACTTGGGGTACATAAAGCAAAGAAATTTAGAGTATTTCATAAATATAGAAAGGCTGCAAGGCCTCTCAAACATGAATAAATAATCAATCACTACAAAAGAATGCTTCACTGTGTATGAACAAAATTTGGGGAAATTGTGCCCATAAAGAAAACCTACCTCAATCTTCCCACTGAGAATAACTAAAAATGCTAAATAAAATTTCTATTTCTAAAAAAATGTTCAGAGTATCAGAGAAGTAATAAACAGTAAAAAAAAAAAAAAAAATCTGGAAGAACATAATATGTGAAGAGGTGAGCTAGCATATAGGATCACTTCTGATTAAGTTTTATCATGGCCAAAGAGTTATCTGAAAGGCTGAGAATTTTGTAGTTTATAAACTCAAAAGTTGAGGTCCAGAGCCCATAAATGATAGGTGTTCTAGTAAACCTTCTATACTTTGTGCAAAACAGAAATAAACCAGCTTTTGTAAGAAGTGCAATCTAGCTTTGAGCCATCTGGGCCACCCAGAAAAAAACTCAAACTCTCAAAATTGGCTTAAATAATCCCTGATTAAAATTTTCTCAGATCCCAACAGAAACAAACCAAAACTCTCTCTAGAGCCGTAGATCATCATCTTAGGCCTCAAAATATATGTACAAAGTTTTCTAAATACAATGTCCATCATGTAATCAATAACCAGTCACAAAATGAGAGATGAGAAACAATAAAAACAACTCTTAAAGAAGCTCCTGAGTTTAGAATAATAAAGTACAGACTTTAAAATAACTATGTTTGCTGTGCTTGAGATTTCTTTTAGTTAAAAATATTGAAAAATAACTGAACATTTTTAAAAATGGCAGCAGATTTGAAAAAAGAACAAAGTGAAAATTTTAAAACTGAAAAAAATATAATGACTGAAATTACTCAATGAATTAGTTTAACAGTGGATCAAACAGACCTGAAGAAATAATTTGAGACCTGAAAGATAGGTTTGGAATGAAATATGGAAAGGCAAAAGTTGGAATAAATAGAAGAGAGCATGGAAAAATGAAGGATATGGAGAGAGAAATCTAGCATTGGAATCCCAGAAGAAAAAGCTAAGATGAAGCAATCTCAGAAAAATAGCTGGGGATTTTCCTATGAATCCATAAATTCATGAAGTCCTAGGAACTTTAGGAATAAAACAATAAGAAGAAATTCATACCTTGAACCATAGTATTAAAACAATAGAAAACTAAAGACAAAAAGAAAATTATTAAAAGAAGTTGACAGTAAAAGTCTCTTTTAAAGAAACAACAGTTAGCCAAAACCGGTTTGGCTCAGTGGATAGAATGTTGGCCTGTGGACTGAGGGGTCCTGGGTTTGATTCCGGTCAGGGGTATGTACCTTGGTTGTGGGCACATCTTCGGTAGGGAGTGTGTGGGAAGCAGCTAATCGATGTATCTCTCTCTCTCTCATCGATGTTTCTAACTGTCTCTCTCCCTTTCTCTCTGTAAAGGATCAATAGAATATAGTTTAAAAAAAAAAAGAAAAAAAAAGAAACAACAGTTAAAAATATAAATGACTTTTCAACATCAAGACAGTGGAATCTCTCTTCAATGAACGAAAAAAAATCACTGTCAACATAGAATTCACACCAGTAAAAATATCCTTCAACAATGGGAGTGAAATCAATAATGTCCAAACAAATGCTGACAAAATTCTTTACCAGTAGACGTACATTTAAAAAGAAACCAATGAGTGTTCTTCAAGCAAAGAAAAATAACCTCAGATGGAAAGTCAGAGATGTGAAAGGAAAGAAAAGCAATAAAAATTGAGGCATCAGCAGGCTGAAATCTGTACAAGAATATGATTTGGAAGAAGCTGACTTCCAGGTGAGATTATCTTCCTACTATATTAGCTGGAAATTATATTTGACTACCATCTGAAAGAAAATAGTTAAACCCAATCTTTAAATCACATTTAGGAATATATTTTTTACTATTTTGGGATAAAGAAAAATCAAATGCTATTAAGAGAAGATCAATATATTATACTGCATGATTTAAAAATACAAATGGCCAAAGAAACCATTTAAAAGTAATAACAGAGAAAATATGTACAATAGCTCATCAGAAATATTACTTGTTTTAGCAATCAGGAGCTCTTTCTGTTTTGTGTTATGTGAGTTGAAAATACATTGTAAATGAAAATTTATGATATTTTTTATCATAAAATATAATGGGTAGTAGAATCAGATAAGGAATAGCCTTCCAGTGGTTTGTTAAAAAAATGTAAATAGTTGTATTTTCACATTAATGAAAATTTTCAGTATAGATGATATGTCCTCTTGATATCCCTTCCATCCCTAGAATTTTAAGATTCATGCTAAATGTTCTGAGAATGTCAGTACTGAATTATTAAGATACAAGTCCTTTGCTGTAAGAATAGGTTAAAGGGACTGCCAATTAATCTATTCCATTGTTCTCAAAGGACATCATTACCAATAGAATTATTCCATCAACAATGGTGCTGTCGAGTAGCTCTCATAGGATAGTCCTGTCTCATTCACATTATCCACTCTGCCAGTCCCCTTTATTTCATGGTATTTCTATAGCATGTCCTCTGTTCTCTGAAAACCACCATGTGGAAATGATGACTAATGTCAATGGCTTAACTGAATCAGATCAGGAATGTCCTCTATAGGGAGCAACAGCTGGATGATAAAGCAGATACTTGGCATCAGTTCATTTTTATTCACATTTTTATTCACATTTGCCATTGTCCCAGGCAAAACCGAGAGCAGAGGGTGGGAATGGGCATTTGGCACTCACTTACCTGCCGGAGCTTGGTTCCTACCATGGAGGCACTGCTGTCAAGCACAAATACCACATTCTTGGGTAAAGGAGGAAGGTCTTTGGGGGCAAAGTAGTGCACAAAATACTCATTTAGAACCTGGTGCAGGGAAAAGAAAGTAAAAATGATAGCATCCAGAATAGGTAGAAAAACGAAAATGGACTGTCTATGGAACTTCTAAACATCAAAGATATCATGGAACAGTGTCTCTGGTCAGATTCTGCACCCAGAGCAAAAGTATTCATGGCCTTGATCCTTCCAAAAGAACCAATTGCTAATTTAATCTCAATAAGGATAAAATCATCCCTTAATATTTTATTGACTATGTTGACTAATTTAATTTAAATTGTCCTCTTCTGCCTCTTGCCACTTGAGAATCCCTGCTTCCTTAATTATCTGGCTTTTGCCAAGCATCTTACTAGTACAAATTGAGATGTCAAGGAGGTTGTCCACATTCTGGGTGGTACGTTAATACATTTTAATATTCACACCTTTTCTCTGGAGCAATAAAACCTAAAGGGAATTGAGCAAGGGACCAGTCTCTTTTAATTAAAATTTAAGAAGAATTAAAATTCTAATGCCATCTAACATAGCACAGGGAAAAGTGTAGATTTCACTAGCTCTCCAGATTACTGAAGCAGGAAATACTAGGTGTACCAGTTAATAATGCGGATTTTTTTTCAATAGATTGAGTTACACATACGTTGATATATATGCAATTTAATATGTATGCTATTTTGTTGTATTGACAGTAAGCTTCAAAACTTCATATGTCAAACTTTCTGAAAGTGTTAACATCATAGATATTTTTACACTTAAAAATGTCAAATTTTGTGCCCAAAAAAGAGCATTTGTGGGAAGTTTTAATTCATTATTTTATTTTGAAGAAAAGTGCTCCTAAAAGTTATATTCTTTGGGACACTTACAGTGAACATGCTCCATCTCAAGATACTTGTGAACGCTGAGTTAAATGTTTTAAAAGTGATGATTTCTATGTGTAAGACAAAGAACGTACATTTTCCTTTCTTTAAAATATAAGAAGTATTTTAAAGAAAGGAAAATGGGTGCCACATCAAGTGAACGAAAGACAAATGGAAAACTGAAAAGTCATCAGTAAGATATTGTTTCAACAGCATGAAAGAAAGTCTTTTTTGTATTGAATTGTGACTGGCGATGAAAAGTGGATTTATTTTGAGAATCCCAAATGCACAAAATCATGGGTTCATCCAGGTCAACCATTAACATTTACTGCAAGGCCAAATTGCTTCTGAAAGAAGTCAATGCTCTGCATTTGGTGGGATCAGAAAGGTGTGAGCTTCTAAAACCAGGCGTAACCATTAATACTGATCACTACCAATAGCAAATAATCAATTTGAACCATGCTTTGATTGTAAAACGACCAGTGTTCACAAGTATCTTGAGATGGAGCATGTTCACCATAAGCTTCCCAAAGTATATGATAACTTTCAGGACACTTTTCTTCAAAATAAAATAATGAATTAAAACTTCCCACAAATGCTCTTTTTTGGGCACAAAATTTGACATTTTTAAGTGTAAAAATATCTATGATGTTAACACTTTCAGAAAATTTGACATATGAAGTTTTGAAGCTTACTGTCAATACAACAAAATAATATACATACCAAATAGCATGTATATCAACATATGTGTAACTCCATCTATTGAAAAAAATCTACATTATTAACTGATACATCTAGTACCCTCAGGCTCCAGCTAGGGAATACCACTTGTCTCCTTGGAGACACATTTTGGGTTCAAATATATTTCCTAAGAATCAGTCACTGTCCCTTGGGTAAGTATTGGAATCCCCAGTTCTGAGTCTAACTAAAAGTATTAAGCAACTAACATGAAACAGTAGCAACTTACCTGGATGTCCCCAATGTTCTGTTCTCTATTGACATCATATCTAATGATGAAATCTCCCAAAATGCCATTCTGGGCAATCCTTGCTTGCTGAACCACACTAGGCTTAAAAATGACTTTGGCAAAAGTTTCATTTTGATTGATAACAGTAGAAGGAGGTGGCCCAACATCATCTGCATGCAAAATATAAACATAATTAATCACTAAATATGTAAATACTAGATGCCCAGTACATGAAATTCATGCATGGGGGGGGAGGGGGCACCTCAACCCAACCTGCCTGGGCCTCAGGATTTTAAAATTTCCCATGAGAGCCGAATGTATTAAAGCTCACAGCACAGCTCAATCCCCTGTATTTCTTTGTGTTCTGGCAGGTAGACCTGAAGGCTTGGTTAGACTTAGGTTCAATGCTATTTGCAAGAACCCTTCATATGTGATGTGAGTACTTACTACTTTATCACATCAGAAGGTACATAATATCAACTTGTCTACTTTTAGTGGTGGTAAGATTGATGGTTGGTTCCAGGATTCGCAATCTGATGACCTATAATAAAGTTCCTCACCAAATTTTCACTTAACAGTTTTATCAACTGCTAATAATGTTGGTCTAGACCCTCTATTTCATTAGAGTTGTAAAGGAGGTTTCTGATTCAATCATTACTTCCATATGGATTTCCTCCATAAAGAAAACCTTTCCTTCATCAGTTATTTGGTTGCCTACCATACTGTTTGTCCAGAAAATTTGTGGCTCTTAAAAAAAAAACAAAAAACAACTTTCTCAGAGCTTTCCCCACTTTCCAAAGCTTTCCCCAGCATGAATCTTAGGCTATAAATTAGAATTCCATAAATGTAAACAGATGAATATATTTTATGTAATTTAAGAAAACTTAGTAAGATGATATAAAGCAAAGTCATCCCACTTTTTACCTCTGAACTTCATGTTAGAAAACAAATAATCATTTCACTAACTGCCCACTTTTACAAATTCAAACACCACCATGTTTATATACTTAGCAACAGAAATCCAAATTTTTGAGATCTGTTTACACAATAAATAATATGAAAATAAAATAGAGAATTCATAAATATCAGTGCATGTGGAGATGTTTTATCCAGATACTGAATCAAAACCAGGCTTAAGACTGCTGTAAAGCATCTGACTATCTTAAAATCTATTAAAGTTGATACCATAAAGATGACCAGGAATTTTCCATCCTTATTAAAAAAATAAATAAATAAGGAAATGAGGCATAATTTAGCTATGGTAATTTGTATTTAAGAATAAACTTCCTTCTGCTAAATTTTATTAGATATTAAAATGAAAGGAAACGAAACCGGTTTGGCTCAGTGGATAGAGCGTCGGTGTGCGGACTGGAAGTTCCCGGGTTCGATTCCGGTCAAGGGCATGTACTGTGGTTGCGGGCACATCCCTGGTGGGGGTTGTGCAGGAGGCAGCTGGTCGATGTTTCTCTCTCATCGACGTTTCTAGCTCTCTATCCCTCTCCCTTCCTCTCTGTAAAAAAAAAAAAAAAAAAAAAAAAAATCAATAAAATGAAAGGAAATTTAAACATTTCCTTCAACAGAACAGACAATTATTTTTCAGCAACAAGTTAGATATTACTGATAGGGAGGACTCATAATCTAATAGATAGAGCACTTAAATTAATCTGAAAAGTACTCATACTTTAATAGGTGGTTAAGTTTCTTAAATATGAAGAGGGGATTAAGTTTTTCTTAAAGTATCCCTTTCAAGGCCTATGCAAAGCAATTGAGAAGGAGACTCAGCTATGAATCTAGCAAGCAGAACCATAAACAGTCAGGCTGACCTACCAGGAGTCAAACCATCATCTTATCAACATCATCTCATCACCTAATGACTAATTATAATAGCTGATGTCTGCAGACCCCCAGGCCTGCACATAGCTGCATTCCTCACCACAGCCCCTTCCCCTTTCTAATGCTTCCCCCTGAATCTTGTTGGAAGACAGGATTTGATGCATGTAAGCACCCAGTGTTCCTGGTTGGCTAGCCTTCTCAATAAATGCCTAGTATGATTCAACCCTGCCTTTGTTATTGGACACAGTGACAGGCAATTCAAGCCTAACCAGAGGTTTCCTGGTAACACAGCCTTAACAGGAACCACAGAGCAAAATTGAGTCTTCTATTATTTCTACTTACCAAGGGCAGAAATGTTGGGAATGACCAGAGAGCTAGCAAATAGGAAAGTTTATTCCTGTAGAAAGAAAACTGTATGGAAGATTACATGCTTCCAACAGATTTGCTCATCTGAAGAAGGAATTGGGAAATTCTCAGTGCTCATCTACAAATGCGAACCTCCAATTCATTAGCCTGGTTGACATTATCTTAGAACCAGTAGGCAAGAAGAAGGAAAAGAGGCTGATAATGAAATGGTTCTTGAAATAGAATAAAATTTGCTGTTCTCTGGAATCAATCTTTAATTTCATTGGTGATTATTGGTAAAGCACCAAGAGTGAGCAGCTTGATAATACACTACCTAAGAACTTAGGAACATGAATGAATGAGAAGTACTTGCATTTAATACCTCTTATTATCTACTAGAGGCCAGATGCACAAAGATTTGTGCAAGAATGGACCTTCCTTCCCCTGGCTGCCAGCACTGCCCTTGCTCTGGCCGGAGCCACCTTTCCTCCTTCACATGCTACCCAGAAGCCCAGAGTGGTTGGGGCTGTGTGGAACACCTGCATCCAGCCCTGCCCCCATTGTACATTTCTGTAATTAACCCATCTTTATTGGGTTAAATTGCATACTCACTCCTGATTGTCTTGTGGGCATCATGAAGGTACGCTCAATTTGCATCTTTCTCTTTTCTTAATGTAGATGGGAGTTTGGACAAATTACTGAGTCTGCATTATCTCATCTATAAAATGGATTAACTCACACTATTGAAAAGATTAAGTAATGTAATGTATTTAGTGTTATTCTGCTTCATGGTAAGCAGTCATATTAGCTAATATTATTATGAAACTAAAATGTCTAAAAATAAAAGTAGGGCCAGGGAATCAAATGTAAGACAATATGATATGTCAAATTTGAAACACTACAGGCAACAAAAAGAAAGGAACATATTTAAAATGGTTGAATTTCACAATTATTTAGAGTAAAACATAACATAAATAAGACTGTATATTCACCATTTTTCCATTTACATAAACTTAAGAGCAGCACAACTTATACATGGCGATTGGAATAGAATAGTGTTAGCTTTGGGGGGTGAGGACTGACTGGGAAAGAGTATAAGGGAGCCTTTGGGGTGGTGGAATATTCTATGTCTTGATTTGGAAGTAGCTATACTGGTATATATATGTATGTAAAAATTAATCAAAGTGTACACATAAGATGCATATACTTTAGTGTATGTATACCCCAACTTTTAAAAAAGTTAAAGTCATTGGAAGTTGTATAGCAGAACAGATTAGGTGTTTCCAAAGTAATTCCAGCTGGCAGAACCCAGAAGCACTTTCGTGCAATATCAGTAAAAGCTCTAAGAAAGATGTCTTGTTGGCAGAGGCCACTATCCCAACTCATCTCTTTTGAAATATTCGGAGCCAGCCCTAGGTGACTCAGTCACCTGCAGGGACGGTGCAAGCAGTTCTGACCATGTGGTCTCAGACCAGCCGCATCAGTGTCTCCTGGGAACTTGCTGGAAACACAAATTCTTGGGCCCACCTAGAAATTCTGAATCAGAAGCTCTGGAGGTGAGGCCCAGAAAGATGTATTTTAGCAGCTGATTCTGGTTCCTGCACAGAAACAATGGTCACGTGTTTCTGATGTATGTAATTGCACAGCACTGACATTGTACATTTCTGTAGTAGATTCGACTCTTTATACAGTACTTTCAGCATGTACCTATTTTTTCTTGTTTCAAAGCTCTCTCGTTGATGTGCTCTTTACAACCACCCTGAATTAATACCATTCATGGTTGAATAAAAGCATTGAGTATTAAAAATTTAATTTCTCTCTTCATAATTTATTTGACTAGGCTCTTTGATATAAGCCATGAAAAAAGATAGTGTATTATTATTTTGGTTTCCTATTGACCTCTGTTGCTTACTAATTCATGATGAAAATTTAATGATTCCTCTAAATGGACTTATTTTCTATGCCCAAATTGTGGGTTGGTTCACAATTTGGTGGCTCACCGAGGGGTTTAGCCCCTGAGACTGATTTCCACCCACTAAGTATCAGACAGTCAATGTGACCCAGTGAATTTTCCACTCCCAATACCTCTCCAAAAAAAGTCACTTGGAAAATATTCCAGAGTAATCTCTGTAGGAAAAAATGTCCTCTTTTTATTAGAGGAGGAAATAAATCTTTTAATCAATGAGGTTAGTATAGGCTGCCCCACTGATACTGGCCAAAATCCCAAAGCTTTTTCTTACTGTGAATTGTACTCACGCTCTCACAAAATAGTTCATAAGCATAATGAGCTTTATTAACAGGGCCCTCAGCAGTCCCTGGATATGTTCTGAAGATAATGAAGGGTGCAAGGAAGAGGTTAGGAACAGATCAAAAGAGTGAGAATCTGGCTACTTCCCTAATAAGAATCCACATCATTTCTTCCTGTTGGTATTCTCTCCTTCTCACCCTCTTGGTTAGAGTCAAGAGTGTGGCAAGAATTGAAGGAGGCTGTTTTTTAATGTCATCTTCCCATTTTAATCTGGGCATCGGTCTTGTGCAAGATAACCTGCAGAGGCATACAACTGCCTCTGCTGTGTCCTCGGTGAGATTCACTAATGGCCTTTCTCCACATATTCTTCCCTGCTTCTCAGGTCACCTGCATCCTTTTGATGCTTTCTTCCTGTCTGAACCCCCATATTTTTGAATAAGAAATAGGTATTATATTAGAAGCCACATAATACTGAATAAAGTGCATTCTAGAGTATGACAAACTCAAAAGGACTGACTTAATATCTCTAAGCCTCAGTTCCACAACTGTTACATTGGAGTAAACCATGTCATAGCATCATTGTCAGAATTGCAAGATCACATATATAAGGAGCTGAGCTTAGTGCCTGGCACCAGCAGGTGCTGGCCACATAATAGCCTCCAGCCTCTTCCCTCAGAAGCAGCTTCTTGTTTCTTCTAAGTTGAAAGGCAACAAATGAGTTTAAAATATACTACGAACAACTCT